AACCGTGTTGCAGTCCACCAGTTCTTCGAAGTTGGGGTACAGCGACGTGCCAACAGGGCTCCCCAGCAGTCCGGCTGCCCAGCACGTCAGCTCTGGAGGGAACAGGCACCAGCACCGAGGTCGCAGGACAGGAGAATTACTCCCCATCAACCACAAGAGCCAAAGGAAAGACACCCACTGCGTTCTTCTCTTCAAATCTTTTATTGTTAAAGGTTCTTATTAAAACTGTAGTGTGGAAATCCGAAAAAAATAAAATAAAGACACACGGGAAGTCTGACAGAACACAGACCCGGTCCGGCCCGGCCCCAGAAGCGCAGAGAGCCAGCGCCGGAGACCTGGGCTCGGCCCCGGAGGGGTAAGGGTCCCGGGCCACAGTGGCGGCGGCCGCGGGCTGGCACAGAGCTCACGTCTGGAAAACAACGCCCGGGGAAAAAATAAAAAACTCACGCCAAGCTGTCACTTTCCTCCGGCCCCTCTTCAACAAGGAGAGGGGGTTTTCAGCGCCCTGCCTCCTCGATAAAACGGGAGTCTTTTAGAGCCAGTCCAGGACCGGTCCGGTCCGGTCCGACGCGTGTCCGGGCCAGGCTGCGGAGCTCCGACAGCGCGGGATCTGGAACAGCCTGGGACAGCCCACCCTCGGCTCACGGAGAAACTGCAGAGGATGAGTCGGGATTTTGCTGCGATAAGCTTTTCCTCCGTCTTGTCCTGCACCGCCAGTTACTGCCTTCAGAAGCAACTAAACCTCCCCCCGCGCTGAGAGCGCCGTCCCCGAGCTCTGTGCCAGCCCGATACCGCGAACGCGGTACAACCGGCAACATCCGGCACCCTCACAGCAGACGGGGCTTAAAACAAAGGAAATATCAGGAAAACGTGGAGGTGTTTCTCGTGCAGCGTGGCCCTCGGTTGCCTTCTCTCTTCCCTGACAGCGAAGACAAAGCGAGCTCGCAAGAAACGCGTACCGATCCCAAACGAGAACGTGGTGGCGGGGGGGGAGGATCTGCGTGATGCTCCCATCAGCCAGGGCTGACCGTGCCATCTGCTTTCAGCACCCGCGGGAGAGGGGACTGGGGGTGCCAGCATGCGCCAGTCTGGCCCTGGCACAGGAACCCAGCGCAGGGGGAGCAGACTTCACACCATACCGAGATATCAAACAGCCTCCCGTTCCCACGCTGAGCCTATGAAGGAGCTCGGATTCACCTTCTTGTCCAATCCTTCTCTGGAGTGAGCCCCCCCGTGTCCCAGAGTCCCCGTGTCCTGTCCCCGAGGGCCACAGCCCAGGTTTGCAGGCGCCCCGAAACATCAGCCGCACAGCTCCTCAGCGCGAGGGTTAAATTAGCTCAATGAAAGCTTAATTGGTGCGCCAATTAGGTCTTATTTAATTCTGACCCACTGGCTTAACTGTAAGGATACCTGCCAAGCCCGCTGTGGTGCTGCCCTTGAGGACTGGACTTTGGGAGCCCTGCTGTAGACCCATGATCCTTAAGGGATCTGGGGAAAATGACCCCCAGACCGACCAGGATCCTGCCCTCCAGGATCCCTGCAGCAGGGGGTCCCAGCCCGTCACTTTCAGACCCCTGGGGGTGTTTGTAGCATGGGCCCTCGGCCTGCAGCCTGGCTGAACGCGTCATTTTTCTGAGGGCTTTCGAGAGAATGTCTTGAAAACCCCCAAAAAACGCAGCGTTCCGAGCGACTGGGAAACGAGAGCAGCGGAGCTTTCCAAGAAAACGGTTTGCAATAAAAAAGGGGAACTAAGAGGGAGGCTCAGAGCAGACAGGAACGATGACTTGCAAGCTGCTTTCCGGTGGGGAAAACTAACAGTACTATCCGGGGAAGGCCCTGGTTCTCCACCCCTCCCAGCGCCCCACTGCTCAGCCGAAGACTTTTCCATCTGCGGGATTTATCCCAGAGGGTTCTGGGATTGCCCCCAGGTCCTGCTGTGGCAGATCTCACAGCAAGGCCCAGGGGGGGTGGGGGATCGGGGTGAGGGTCCGGGCGCTGGGACAGGCCGAAACACGGCACGCCCCGCCGGCGGCGACCGGCCACGGCGCTCAGCGCGGCCCAGGTCCCGCTGCAGCGGAATGAGACGCGCGAGAGGGGCTCCGGGAGCAGACGAGCCGGAGCTGCTGGGACTGCAGGGGCCTCTCGGGGCCGGGAAGGAGACGGACGGGGGGGGAGGGAGGGAGAGAGGCTGCGGGTGGCGTCGCGGAGGCAGGCCGGACTCGGGGGCCCCCCTGCCCCGGCGCCGGGGCGTAGGGGGGCAGGAGTCCTGTCAGCGGCGCGCAGGAGGGAGGAGCCGGGGGTGGACAGAGGTGGCCTTGGCTCTGCTGGGGAAAAAAACAACGGAAGAGGTTTCCGTCATCACGGAGCGCAGGAGGGGAGACCAGAGCCCGACGGCCCGCAGAGCTTCATCCCTCCCTGGGACGGAGGCGAGCGGCAGGGAGGGGGCTGAACTGGCGCAGGAGCAGAAACTCCCTGTGCTGCACCACGCCGGCGGTCTTTTCTCCAGCCCTGAAAGGCTGCTGCAGAAACCCCTGAGCAACAGCAGCACTCGCTCGCAACGGGAGGCAATGGAAGATTCAAAATGAGGCCGGACAAGCGTACCAAAGAAGGACAATCCAGTAACTGTTATCTTAGTACATGTGGCGTCTGAACTGGTTTCCCCATTAACTACCTCCTTGAACAACAAGATCATAAAATGGTGGTGGTGGAGGTGAGTCCTGTAAAGCGCTTTGAGTGGAGTGTCCAGAAAAGCGCTATATAAGTGTGAGCAATTATTATATTATAATAATAAATGTGTATGCTGCGCCATCTAGTGGCCATCTGGCATTTTGCAGCTGTGCCAACTCAAAGCGGGATGGTACTGCCCTTGGCACATTACAATGATGCCCCAATCACAGCAGTGCTCCCCACTGTCGCCAGCTGGCCTGGCTCTGCTGTGAGCGGGGCTGAGCTACCAGCTACAGCCACGCTTGGGGCTCATCCCCCTCGCTGCCGGCTGCTCGGGCTGAAGCCCACAGCACCCTTCGGGCGGAGCGGTGGCCCTGTGGCTCAGGATCTGCGCCTGTGGCTGGGAGGTTTGCCAGTTCGTATCCCGCGGCCGGCAGAGGATCTACTCCATTGGGCCCCTGAGCAAGGCCCTGAACCCCAACTGCTCCAGGAGCGCCGTATAAATGGCTGACTCTGCGCTCTGACCCCCAGCTTCTCTCCCTGTCTGTGTGTCTCCTGGAGAGCAAGCTGGGGTCTGCGAAAAGACACATTCCTAATGCAAGATACTGTACATGACCAATGAAGTGATCTTACAATCTTACAATCTCTTGCAGCGCAGTACATCCTTAAAGCTGCCAGACACAGGCAGAGAAAGGAGCTACTTCCTGCTCGATGACTTGAGAGGGTCTTGGTACTGAGAGTGGGAAAATGACCAGAGCTCATGTCCAGGAGGAGCTTCGGGGATCGACAGCAGCTTCCAAACAGCGGGCGACCCGACGGCGCTCTGACCTGCGTCACTGTGCAGGGGGAGGACAGCTCGTACCCCCCCCCCCCCCCCTCCGCTGCCGACAACCCCCCCCTCACTCGTCCGCCGGCTTCCTCCTCATCTGCGCCTGCATCTGCGCGATCATCTCCTGCATCCGGCGCAGCTGTGGGCAGAGACAGGGGCGGGTCAGAGAGCAGGTTTCACAGGCCGGGCGATTCTGGGGCCAACGCGAATTATTAGGGGCCGTCGTTAACCACCAGTAACGTCCATTTTCAAACCACTTCTTCCAATTCAGGGCTGTGGGGGACTCCATCGCAGGGCACATACAGACACAAACACACACTCACTCACTCCAGGGCCAATATTCCCAATTCACAGAAGCCAATTAACCTACGAGCATGTCTTTGGAAATGTGGGAGGAAACTGGAGCGCCGGGAGGAAACCTACGTGAATAAGGGCAGAGCATACAAACTCCACACAGACAGCACCCCAGGAATTGAATCCAGGATCCCAGTGCAGCGAGGCAGCAATGCTCACCTCTGCTCCACCCTAATTGCAAAACTGCTAAATATTAATTAATTAATTATTTACATACTGCTCTACAGCGCAATGGCGTCTTGAGCCTAGGAGATGGAATTGATTTGATACAATCCTGTATCCTGCCTTCTAATTGGCTCTGTTCCTCCATTATCCAAAAGCCGCTTATATTATTCCTGAATAGGATCCTGGCAGCTGAACACAGAAGCACAGGGCGCCAGGGGAAGACCCAGCCCCAGGTGCGACGCCAGTCCACCGCAGGGCACATGTACAGGGAATTCGGAAACACCCACGAGCCCAACCAGGGTGTCTCTGTGAGGTGGGAGGGACCAGAGCATCAGGAGAAACAGGCCTGGGCAGGATGTTTTAAAGCAATTATACTACATGTGAAGAAGCAAACCAACACATGCAAGGCCATCCTGTAGTGAACACAGGGATTGTGCGCCCTCTAGTGGAGCTGTGCAGAATACATCAGCAGAGCTACTGTGATCGTTCTCTTTACCAAACGGGCTTCTGTTTTAGTAGCTTCACTATTCTTCCTTTGAGACATTTTTATTGACTTAGAACCGAGTAACACGACTATTCTAGCTAGATCTGAGTTTATGTCTTTATCGGATTTTATGTTCTTTTTTTCCCCTGCCTCTTACAAACAAACCTAAAAGATTTTGCTAATTTTCGAAGAACGAACTCAGCCTGTCGCCACTCTCTGAAATTTGGAGACTTGGGAGTCTTTACACTCCACCAGGCTGGGACTGCAGAATATCAGGGAACAGGAGGCCCTCTGCTGCCTGTCAACATCACAAAGCCATTTATCCAAGCAGTTCCTCCCTAATCCTGCCCCTCAAAAATTCACAAATTCACAATACTGCGTCCCTTTCCTCCCTCCAGTCCGGGGCAGCGGAACAACCTTTGGGAACTCTGAACCCTGGTTCTAGTTCTCCCTATGACTATGTCTGTAACACTGGGGTTCCCAGCTCCGGCCCTGGGGATCCCCCACACCAGCCAATAACAGGGTGCACTTCAACGCTTTGTTTTCGGCATCCAAAACGCCTGGGTGGTTGGAACCTAAAATCAAGTGTCGAACAGGAAGGACGAAACTTGTTGGTTTAATTTAAGTGAGGGGCTCAGCGATTATCCTGGTGAGGGGCGTGTCAAGAACACGCAGACTCCACACGGACAGGCAGCGGAGAGCAGATTCGAACCCAGGGACCCCGGGAGCTGTGAGGCAGCAACGCCGACAACTACAGCTGCTGTGGTGCCCATAATCCGTTGTTAAAAGGAGCTAAATCCCACCGGAACATGGAGACCAGCACCAGCATTCGCCAGGGGTCTGCGGTTTGAGCTTCTCACCGTGTGTCAGCCTGCATGCAGCTCGTTAGCCACACTCGCCCTGCCTCGTATCTCAGTCCGGAGGGGTGTACTGGGCGTTCCTCACACAGCCTCTGCTGCTCAGCTGCTCCTCGCGCCCCCTTTGCCCCAACCCTCACTCACCTCAGCCTCCTTCTGCAACAGGATCTGGTCCTTGTCCACAACCTCGTCTTCCACCGCCCTGCAGGGGGAGACAGAGAGACACGCGGCTTGGAGCCACAGCAGCACCACCCAGGGGCAGTGTCACAACACCCCCTCCGGTCGGCTCGGAGGCACCCCCGCACGGCTGGGTGGGCCCGAAATTACCCCCCACCCCCTCCTTGATCCCTGTAGCCCAGCAGTTCATGTGCAGTGATGGAACAGCTCTCATGCACATTGCTAACGTGCGACACAGCTGCCACAGGGTACTCTTCACTCTGTTAGTCACACACACACGCAAGGACGACAACATTCCTTTGCACGGCAAGGCGCAATGAACCAGCAAACATGGTTTACTTTTGTTCACTGTGCTGAACTCCCCCACCCCACCAGCACCATTATATCACATCCATCCTGGCCCCCACTCCAGCGGCTCCGGGGCTGCTGGGAGCTCTGGTGACGTCACAGCTGGGCCTCCAGCGGCTCCGGGGCTGCTGGGAGCTCTGGTGACGTCACAGCTGGGCCTCCAGCGGCTCCGGGGCTGCTGGGAGCTCTGGTGACGTCACAGCCAGATTCTAGCAGCGCCGGCCTGCAGGTGCCAGGTGGAGCAGCACCCTGGACGTTAATCAGAATGGGCCCGTCCGATTCATGTGGAAGCACTGGGCTTTGGGCGCCTGTCCCTCACCTGCCGGCCCTCTTCAGGCGCTCGGAGCGGAAGTTCTCGTAGTGCAGGTCCTGGGTCACCTCCTGGAGGTCCTGCATGTGGGTCCTGGAACAGAGCGACAGTGTGACTCACACAGACGGGCGTCGGTGACCCGAACAGCAGCAGCAGCAGTGTCAAGGGGCAGGGAAACCCAGCAGAGGAAGAGTGCAGAACACCGCCGCCACAGGGCGCCACTGCAGCAGGATGCTCTGTGAAGCCGGAGGAGAGGCACGTGACCCCCCCCCAGCGCCCATCTGGAACCCAAGAGCAGGATCCTGACTCCCCGCTCCTACGACATGATCCAGACTCTGTCCCGGGACACTTGGGCCATACAGCTTGACTGCTTGGGCTAGCATCTTTACCGGGCGAGCGACTCAAGAGCCTCAGCATTCTTAACCCCCCCGAGGTAATGGGCCGCAAAGCATTCGGACAATTCGACCAGCAGGGCCTCCTTGAGTCTGTGGATGCACACGTTTCTACCCGTTCAGCAAAAGAGGCCATTTGTCTCCTCCGACACTAGGGGGCGATTTAAGATCAGTCTTGGGAGGACAGGACACAGACTGCGCTCCAGAGTCTCGGCAGACAGGCCCTGCAGCCCCTCAATAAAACAATTAAGCAGCTGGCAGTTACCTGACTGACACAGAGCAGAACCGATCCACATGAGCAAACGGGCTTCCATGTGCCCGGCGCAGAATTCTGCCCTCCTTCCACCTTACTTACTCAGGTTGTTTATCCCGGGCCGTGCAGCCACCAGCGACCTGCAGGGATGTGGCTCTGAGCTTCCAGAAGATTCTAGAGCCCAAGTGACATCACTCAGCACCCCCCCCCATCGCCACGGTGACTCACACCAGCATGGTGCGCAGCTTGAGGAAGTCATTGTGCTCGGGGTTCTCCACCTCCACCACACCCCAGGGGTACAGCCGGCCGCGGATCTTCTTCCCCTTGACCTCGATCAGCTGGTTGGAGCCGATCACAGCGAAGGGGATGCTGGCCTAAGAGGGGGAGGGGGAGAGAAAGACGAGGGCCGGGGAGGAAAAGGGAGGGGCGCGCGCAGGGAGAGAGACGCAGGAAGAGAAGGAGTACGAAAGAGACAGAGGGTAGGGGTGGAGGGGGGGGAAAAATAATTATAAGACGACGAAAAGAAAAAGTCTGTTTCCTGCTCTGAGGCTCTGCCGGCACGGTCTCTCTCGCTCCCTCACCTTCAACACCCTCGTCTGCTCCTTGAACTCCTCGTCCTCGTCCGAGTCGGCGTCCGGGAGCTGGTAGATGCGGATGCCGTGCTCCCCGATCTCATCCAGGATCTGGAAGGGCGGAGACCCGGAGACCCCAGGTGAAATCCCTCGGACGAGAGCGGAAAGCGTTCGGACAGAGACCGGCTAAGCGCTGGGGCACTGCTCCGCCACACGCTGTAGGGCCGCAGTCGAGATCCCATGACCCACCCTCCCTTCTCAACTCTTCACATGCTGTCCTCGTTCCTGAAACCGGTGCTGCCAGACCGGGCTCTGAGGCTAGACGGTTCTTTCCCCATTTATTAAAGGGAAACGTTTTCGAGATGCGCCAACTACTGAAACACAAACTGCAGCTGAAAGGCTGCGAGTCCCTACGAAGGCAAAGAGTAAGAAGTCTCACCTAGAGCTCAGAGCAGGTTTTAGGTTTCTGGTTATGAAGGGAACAGTTTGATCACTCACATGCATCATTCTGCTCCAAAGCAATCTACCAGCACACAAGACGCCGCAGGTCAGAGTTGAGACGAGAATAAGCAGATCAGTCTTGAGCCTTTTTTTTTTTCCTTAGAAATAATGATCAGGGAATACCGTTCCTGCTGACACTGCGTGAAGTTTAATTAAAACTGCCCCTGGAGGAGCAGGGGGGAGAGGTGGCAGAGGAATGGAGCAATGACTGTTGTTGCAATCCAGTCCATATCCAGTCAGTGCCGAAACCAGCGCAGCAGGCTGTCGGCTTGCTCACTGCCAGGAGAATGGCAACACTGTGCCACCAAGCAGGAAAAAGGAGAAAAGCAAGATCTGAACTTAGACCGAATGCACAGGTTAAATCTGGACTGCAAAAAAAAATCATGCTTTCTGTACAGATATCAGGGGATCAGAACTGACCCCCCAGTGTTTATTTTTTTAGACATCAAAGCAATATTTTGTATAACTGTTAACAATGCATTACATAACAATGCTGAAGAAAAGCACAGAGCTCTTTTCCTGGTTTCTGGTTCCTCCCCTCCACCTCTCTGCATCTAAAGGAACAGACTTCAATGCAGCAGGAACCTGCAACTATTCAATCCTCCCCAAAAAACACATTGTTAGGCCTTTGGATTGTTTGCTTAACATGAATTCAAAGAGCGTTTGACCGAGGTAAAGATCACCCCGGACCGCATTGTTGTGCCACTGAAAATAAACGGAACAGGGCCACCGAGGAGACGTGCTGGTGCTGGGAACGGCGCTGGGAATCAGGCCTCTGGCTCGGCAACGCGGCAAGCCCGCGATTCTGCTCTGGGAGATTTTGCGCAATTTTTTTTTTTCCAATCAAAAAGTACTTACAAAAAAAACAAAATGGGACTCCTTGCATGACGAGACTTTTTTTAACCTTTTCACAACATCCGTGACCAGTTGAGAAAGGAATTCCTTACAGCAGCCATATCACCCTGCAACTCACAGCTGGCAGCCCACTGAAGCTCAGCAGGTGTGAGCCTGGCCAGTACCTGGATGGGAGACCTCCTGGGAAAAACTGAGGTTGCTGCTGGAAGAGGTGTTAGTGGGGCCACTGTACTGTAAACAGGTGCCGTCCTTCGGATGAGACGTAAAACTGAGGTCCTGACTCTCTGTGGTCATTAAAAATTCCATGGCATCCTGGCCAAATTTCCCATTGGCCCTTACCAATCATGGCCTCCTAATAATCCCCATCTATGAACTGGCTTCATTACTCTGCTCTCCTCCCACTGAGAGCTGGTGTGTGGGGAGCGTTCTGGCGCACTATGGCTGCCGTTGCGTCATCCAGGTGGGGCTGCACACTGGTGGTGGTGGAGGGGATCCCCATTACTTGTAAAGTGCTTGAGTGGAGTGTCCAGAAAAGCGCTATATAAGTGTAAGCAATTACTATTATTATTATGGAAGTGTTCAGCTCTTCCAAAACTAGAGTCTGTTTGTCCAGCTTGAGTTCTTTTCTGAATGACCATGCTCTTTATAAAACTCCTTAAATTGGGGATGTCCAATCCCGACTCGGAGGCAATCCAGGGTTTTGTTATAACCCGTCTCTTGGTTACTGGTAACCAACCCAGTTAGTTACTGGCTCAACTGGATTAATCTGGCAGTTCCTCCCTGGGCTGCAGGTGCTGTTGTGGGAAAGAGACATGGAAAACCTGGACAAGCACTCGCCCTCCAGCATCGGGACCCAACAGCCTGGGCTGTTCATCAATGACACATCTTCCCTTTCCCCGATGTCCTGAAAAGTAACAGGCTGGCCCTGGACCCCCCCCCCAAAACCCTCTTCGGCAGCATCAGTGGCAACCCCCCTTCCAAAGAGCTCAACACTAAAAATGACCACTGAAGAGGACGGCTTTCAGAAAGTCATTTGCTTTAAGGCAGTTACAATGGCATACAAAACCAGGCAGCCACTGAGTTCGGAAAATGCAGATTTAAGGTTTTGCCACCCAGATACTGTCTCCAGTCAGCCCCGCTTGGAGATTTCAGAAACAGAAAACACTTCCTGAGCAACGGCCTGTGACTGGTTCGGGACCTGCCTGCGCCGCGCGACTTCATTTTGTGACTTTCTGGGGATGGCCGCTGCCTAGGAGCAAACAAACGTGTACCGAACGGGAAGAGATTAGGAAGCTGGTGGCTCCACTCAGGCCTGAAACTGCACAGCAAACCGCCCCCGTATCCAACTTGGCACGCGTGGAACCAATGACACCCGGGTTCGAATGAAGCAGTTTGGGGGGGAAAAAGCAGTCAGCTTCCCGCTTCCTGCTCCCTGTTTGAACTGGCAGCGATTCCAGAGTCGCACTCATCGGTAATTACCGCTAAAAGAAGAAAATGAAAGGATGACGGGAAAGGAAAAGCAAGGAAAACAAAACTAAAAACAACAGCGTTTCTGGGGGCCCCCCCCTTTAATTTCGAGAGGGAGATCGCCCTCCTTTCACCTGCTCTGGGACGTCCCGGAGGATCTGGCCCTGCCTGTGCCCGCGGACCGGAGCGCCAGGCTCTCCCGCCGTGTGGACCGAGCCGGGCCACCGGTGACCGCGGTGGAGGGGCGCTGCACCTCCCGGTGCCCCCCCCCCCACGGCCCTGGTGGCAGGCCAGGCGGGCAAGGAGGGGGCGGCTCAGTCCACGTCGATCCTGCCGCGGGCGCCCCGACACGGGTCTTCGAAAAACAGAAAGAGCGAGACCTCGGGGAGATCTCGAGATCTCGAGAGGACGTACTTTAAAAACAAGAGACGCACTGGTGTTTTATTCATCGTGTCCACTGCTGACAGGCGGCTTCCCGCTGCCCCGTTCCACTGCTCGGACTGACAAGCTGGTGTCCGTCTCGGACCAGCCAGGGGCCCCGGACCCCCAGACCTCAGGGGTCCCTCTGCCGTCCCATCCTGCTGCGGGGTTTGTGCCCGTTTGTTTGTCTGCCTCAGTCTTTTCCCCTGTTCTCATTTGGTCTTTCTGCTTGGCTCCTGTGCTTGTTTTGCTCGGTATTTATAGCTCACAGGAGCTTGTTTATTTCGGCGTTGTTTGCCCGGGCCGAGCTCTTTCCTGGCCTGCACCTGCTCCCCCGCCCCCCCCCAGAGTCTCAGCAGGAACAACATCTGCGCTCGGCCCCCCGAGAAAGAGCCGGCCGCTGGGGGCCCAGGCTCCCCGCAGGGCGGCTCGTCCACGTGACTGGTCTGTTGACCGAAATTCGGAAACTGTCCAACCGGTGGGCAGAGCGCCCCCAAGTCTGAAATCAGGGGGACAGGCGGTTCCGTTGGGCCTGGCAGGCTGGAAGGATCTGTCTGAAAACCCACCCCGGCAATCAATACCACAAATCAGACCTAATTAAGCTGAAACAATGAGCCTTCCTCTGTTCCAAGTAATTGCTGTACAAGAACACGCGGGCTGTCCTCAGCCGAACTCCCATTAAAAGGAATCCTGTTCTACGGAGCTGATTTATTCCTGGGAATGGGCTGCTACTCCGCAGGGAAGAGCTGTAGGAGCTCGTGTGCAAAGGATCCAATCCGCCGCACTCCGCCGTTCAACCCTAAATCCTAAATTGCTCCCGACGGCAGCTTGGACCATCGCACGCCTCTGCCCAGCCCTCGCGGCTCGGCTCTCCTGGGTGCCAACAGCTCTGCTGAAGGCCGAAGGCTCACTGAAGAGAAAAGTTACCTCCTTCCTTTAACCGTAAACCCACGCTGATCCACACTTTACTGTAGGGGTTGGAGATGCACGTGCTGCAAACCCAGGACGCGTCACCAAGGCTGAACAAGCACAAGCAGCGCACTGGGTTTCCCTCCGCACTGTGGTGACAACGTGATGGAGGTACTGTAACCTCGCAGTGTGCAGCCTGCCCGAGATGCGCACCCGAAATGCAGTGTTAAAGCGGGGCTTTCCTTGAAGTACAAAGCCGATACCGTGCTCCTCCGGCTACAGAACTGTGGGGAATGGCAGAGGGGAACGCTCCGCCACAGGGCCAGGCTTGAACCCACAGCAGCTGGATCCGCCGCCACCTGGGCTGGATGGGAGAGACGCTCATTCGTTACCTTCCTTCATTTCCTAAAAACGGCTTCCTTGCTTCGGGGGGTTGGCGGGGTTTTGTTGCTTCCGCCCGGGGGGGCGGGGGCGGGCCGGGCCGGGCCTTGCCCGGCGGGGGTTAGGGGCGGTTTTGGGGGGGGTTTAATGAGTCAGAAGGAGCTGCCCAAACCAGAGGTTCAGCAGCCCTGCATGTCAGACCATCTCCACGGCAACAGCTCAATAAGGAACGGGGGGGGGGGGGCGATTCCTATCACTATGCACCCCTCCCCCCGAATTTACAGTTGCGTTTAAACAGGCCCCTGGGCCACCCACCAGGATCACGGGGCCAGACTGGTACACTCACAGCAGGCGACACAATCATTTCTAGGGGAACTGCATGGGCAGACAGCAGTTTTCTTGGCTCTGTCCTTCCCCGGCCTGCCGCCCAGGACGCCGAGCAGAGCGCATTCTTGGTCTGTCTGACAGCCGGCTGATCCTCCCGCAGGAGGCGGTGGTGGCCAAACCCAGGGCTCGTGTCCGTCAAACCCTTGACCCTGGACTGCGATCCCCTTGGCGGGCCAGCCGCAGAGAGTCCA